TGGTGGGTTTTTGTTAAATGTGAGCCAAAATCATCACAATTAAAAGAACCAAAGACTTAAACTACTTCAGTCTGTGTGCATTGAATTTATTTAATACTTCTGAAGGATCATGTGATACTGAAGACGAGTAATGGCAGTTGAAAATTCAACTTTGCGTCACAGGAATAAATTACATTTTAAAATATATTAAAACAGAAAACAGCTATTTTAAATTGTAATATTTCCTACAATATTACAGTTTTTAGTGTATTTTTGATCAAATAAATTCAGCCTTGGTGAATGTGAGACCTGTTTCAAAAACAATCTTAATTATTTCAAACTTTTGACCAGTAGTGTGCGGTAAAAAAAATATTTTTCAAAGAAAATACAATTTTAGTTTTCCTACCTCAGAATTTCACGTTTTCAATGCCTTTCTTCCTGTTTCTTTGTTTGTGATATTTGCAAGCAATTTCTGAATGAAAATTGTTTCTACACCCAGATTTTTCTATATATATTATATTATATTATATTGCTTTGGTTATTGTTTATAACGTCAAAATCTAAACATAATCTTGTTTTTATTGAAAATGTTGAAAATGTGTGCTGGTTTGAGATTTTACATTAATGCAATAAAATTCGTACATTTTTAAGTATATCTTAAATGCCCAAATACTTTTTAGGGTTGCATGTCCCATGTGTGTGAGGTGTTTTTTTTTTTTTTTGGTAAAAACCTAGTTGTCACAATTATGTCCTAATGATGTAACAGGTAAGTAACAGCATGCTGCCGATGATAGGGTTCAGAAATTCCTCCTTTTTCTCTAAAGGTATGAGAGAGAGCAGATGACAGATGAAGAACCACCAGCTGAATGTGAACTTGACAGTCAATCTGCCAGGTGGACAGTAATGGAGCCGCTCATGGACATCGCTGCAAGTCAAACCTGATTCAAATGCCCAAGACAAGGGGAAAAAGTGAAATATTCTCAATGCAATTTCATTCTTGTAGGCTGATAACTGATCAGAATGATCTTAAAGTTCTTGCACAGTGTTATTTATTTATTAAATTTTTTTTTATTAACCTAACCTTAGAATGTCAAGGTGATGTTGTCTTTAGTTTGTCATTTCTAAGCACTTATTCGATTTGAATACGAACCTGACATGGAAATCAGGTCTGGAGTAAACCTTTCTATCCTTAGATGGCTCAGTGGATACACAGGTCTAACGTCAGTCCTACCTTACGGGGTCATGTCCTTCAACTGACTTTCTATTATCCTGTTTGCAAAAAAAAAAAACACATTGGAGGACATTGAGTCATTTGCTTTTGGAAATGATCTGTATCGCCTTTAAAGTAATGCAGGATTTAACGCTCCTTGCAATCTTAGAATCAATGAGAACGTTGGGTACCATTGTAAACGTACAAAATGGGAGACAAAATACAAATGGGTGGTTTTGCTACTGGTTTCGTTTGCAGGTGCAAGATGATTTTTTAATACAGTCTTTATATGCTCTTCCAGACATATACTCTTGTCAGGTAGACATCTGTTCAAACAGGGAGTGTTAATGAACACTCTTTGAATGTCATGAGAGTGTGTGATGGTGTGTTTCACCCCACCCTAGCATTCGTTTATGTCTCTCCTCCCATCCGTGTCGCGGGTGGCCCGCACAAGCTTGCCCACAATGGTGCTGATGAGCCTCCTCAGTAGAGTCTGTAGGGGATTATGAGGAGATGTTTATGGTTCCTGATCCATCCAGTGATCGGCCCCTGCGCAGTTCTTTAAGGAGTCAGAGATGGTAAATGAGGTATTTGTAGGGAATTAGGTGATGTTATTGTTGTTTTAGAACATGTGCCTGGGCTGATGTTTGAGCAGCTGAGTCAGAGAGGGACTTGGAGTAGTTTCCTAAGTGGGAAAATGTGAGAAAGTGTGTGTTGCTTTAGTTGCTGGACTGCTGACAGACAGTGGAGTGTTTGCTTTTTCTTCTAATGCTAATAAAGAGCTGGTCTGGTAGAGGATGTGTCTCATGAGACACTTGTTTGTTTGGGGTTTTCTCCATTGCTTTGCCACACACTGAAGAAGTTTTATTGCATTTGATGTTCAGCATTTTTGCATAGGTTTTACCACTAAATCAAACCCATGACCTTGTGCAATGCAATCCTATGCCAGATGTGCCACAGGAATCTGGTCCAAAACTGTACATAACCCTGGTTCTGTACATAAGCCACTGGATTGTCCTGAGCAGTGAAGCTCCACGTTTGTATTCTTCTCTAGTTGTTCAGTGGTGGATGAAATGCAGAAGTAATTTACATGACTTAAAATACCATTACCTGTAATATTACCCTATTAAAAATAGACATACTCCTTTTATATTTCTGCTTAAGTAAAAGTACAAAAGTTCATATTTTTGAATATTTACAGGGATAGTTTCACCCAAAAATTAACATTACGTCATCATTTCCTCACCTTCAAGTTGGTACAGACCTGTAAGAGTTTATTTTTAATGGTAAACAGATATTTTGAGGAATGTTGATAACCAACAGTTGTTGGTAGCCATTGACTTCTATAGTAGGCCTATAGGGAAAAAAAATACTATGGAAGTCAATGGCTACCACCAGCTGTTTGGTTACCAACATTCTTCAAAATATCTACTTTAGTGTTCAGCAGAAGAAAGAAAGAAAGAAAGTGGAACAACATAATTTGGAACAACATGAGGGTGAGTCTGATGGCAAAAATTTTCATTTTGGGGTGAACTATCACTTTAAGTATAAAAAGTAAAGTGCAGCCGGTTGCAAAACCCTCATTAAGCTTAGAAAACATCTAGTGATTTTTTTCTTAGTTTTCCAAACTATCGGGACTATTTGTGTGTGTGCACTGGATTTCTTCAATTAGAGCAGTGTGTTTTTCTGATATGTAGTGCAGTCATTCTTGAGAAGTGGGACAAAACAGGGTGCAAAATTGAAAAAATAAAACCTTGTACTCAGACAAATGAAACTACATTTATGTATCTTATATGTACTAAGCTACTGAGCTATGCTTTGATACAACCTCCCAACTTTTCTGATATTATTAAGTGTTGCTTTTGATAAAACAAGCTCTTTATCATCATTATTATTATTTTTTAATCAATTTTATTGCATATGAATGATTGAACCCTTCTCTGTGGACACACTGTTTTAGTTATAGTGAGAGGACATTAAGAAACACAGATTTGGTATAATAATGAGGTGTATGTAAAAATTGAAGGTGATAATTGTGTTAAATACATTCTATTATTAATCCCTCATGACATTTAAAATTGAAAATATTTTTATTTTTAAACCTAATAGCAGTTACCCTTGCTGGACCTGTTTTGTCCCATGTCTCAAGAATGACTAAAAAAGCAAGATATTATGCTTTGGAATGCAGTGAAGTAAAACTTGAGATGGCTTAACCCAGATCATTGAATCAGTTATTTGTTAACCACTTCAATGAATAGAATTCACAAATTAATAATTGAATGTTGCGTTTAAACCGTTTCAACTTCGCCACGTAATAATCGGCTCAAAAGTATGTTTTGTTCATGTATTGGAGCAGTTCTCGATTTTTTTTTTCTTTTTTTTTTCAAGTTCTAAATAACAAAGAACGGCATGTTTTTCTTAAATGTAGTGCTGTAAAAAAAAAAAAAGGAAGATATGCTTTGGAATGTAGGCTACTGAAGTAAAACTTGAGGTGG